CCAGTCTGATCTTGAACTCCTGACCTCAGGTGATCTGCCCGCCTCGGCCTCCCAAAGTGCTAGGATTACAGGTGTGAGCCACTGTACCAGGCCCTGGATATTTTTTAAAAAGTATCCTTAAGGCATGTGTGTAGACATAAAGATGGGAACAATAGACACCGGGGTCTACCAGGTCCACTAGTGCAGGGAGGCAGGGGGGAAAGGGCTGGAATAAAAATAAATTTAAAACAGCTGTCACAATCAACTATCATAAAACAATCCATCAATCAATCAAACAAGCAAGCATGTGTGGCCAGAGAACTTAAAGCTAAGAAACTGCCAAGTGTCTGTCACTGCTTCTACTAAAACGATGTGATAATTGCAGATAATTATATAGATCCCAGACCTCCAAGGCTCCATGAAACAATGCACCATGGCTTAGAATTAAACAAGGTAGAGGAAAGGTCATTTTAAGTAGCAGGGAGAATCTATTTGCTAAGAATAGATAATACAGTTTCCTTCTGCTCCGTATGGAGACATCTGAAAGACCATTTAAAAACAGGAGGAGGCACAGGAGCTGGCCTGAGCCAATTCCCTGCTCCTCTCTCCAGGGTATAAACACCATCAAGGCACTCCAGGGAATCCCATGAAAAGAGAAGCCTCTCTATCCTGGAGAGCTGTTTATTTAGGCAATTAACAAAATACAAAGGGGTCCTTTAAAAATAAATCATGGCTGCCAGGGACACTTTGGTTTTGCTCATAATCATCTTGGGCTCCTGTCTTGGGCTTTTCCACTTTTTGCACTTTCCTTGTCTGAAAACAAACACTTCCCAGTGAATTTTTCCACTTAGAAATATCATTTCAGGATTCAAAATATGGGTGAATTTTAGATAAAAGTACCACCACAACAATGGCACTTCCATAAATACAGACAATACAAATTAATTATTAGAAAAATCTAAATCAAACAACATCCAGAAGGTTGGTGTGTTCCACGATGAATTGAAACCGTGAAGAATCTGGCTTCAGCCATCCAGCCAGGGCATCACGGCTTATCCTCCTGGAGAAGCACAGTGACAGGACCTAAGAGAGCAGGGCAGGTCCACCGCTTGGAGGCTCCTAATCTAGGAGGGGGAGGCAGATTTGTACAGACTTTATGACTGTCTGCACTGTGTAGTTTTTATACCAGACACCTTGTTGAACACGAAGAACAGGCATTCAGAGTCACGTCTCTTCGATGGGATAACAGTCTAGAGCAACAAATCTAGGTCTGAAGCTGTGTGTAATAACATACCATCACAAATGCTATTATCTCATTTCCTTCATCCCCTGGCTTTGCGTAGTATATACTAAAAAATTTCAAGATTATCAAAATTTTCATCATAATTTTTTTCTATGATATTCTGGCATTTAACCAATTGGTGTCTGCCACTGTAGATATTTCAGTTATTGTCAGATCGTATCTATTTGGAGCAACCTTCATTATGAGACAATATAAACCAAATACACACAAAAACCCAGGTGTGATATAGTTTCTTATTCAAAATAGAGTCTTCACGTGATGTTTATTCAAATTACTTAAAAATCTACATAAACACTTGGTTAAAGCAATTTAAATCTTATTTCCATACAATCACTCAGTATTTTATATAAAATATTTCAAGAATACCAAAAATGTAGCGGGTGTAATATAAACACCCATATACCCACCACCACATTAATGATATACATGAAACTCCTCACAGAGCCCTCTCAAATCCAATTTATTGCATTCCCTCCACTAGTAAGTGACCTTTATCATAAGCTTGGTCTCCATGCCAGTTTTTATACCTTTACTGTAAATGTCCATATTTAGAAACAACCTATTGTTTTGCATATTTTTAAGTTTTATAGTATAAATGCCATCTTGTACCCAGAATGTGCTTTTACCACTGCTTATCATTACATTCATGATAATTATACCTGCTGATATATACACACTGGTTCAGTTACTTTACCTGCTGTATAATATTTCACTATCTGACTATATTATGATTTTGATAGGTAGCTGGAGAGAGGGGGATAAGAGAATGAGATAACTTTAGTTCCAAGGAGAATGAGGGAGAAAATGCAGGAAGAATCTGGAATCAGAAGAAGCCTTGGCACATGGCTATTCGTTGAATGGAAAAAGAAGAGACATAGCTAAAATCCAGCTGTCTAGGAAGCTGGAATGCCTCTGGAAAAGTGATTGGAGTTAGTTGGTTATCTCGTAACAGCACCTTGCCTAGAAAGCAGTTTCCTTCACTTCTCTTGTCCATTACCCTTTGCACCATAAAAAAAAAAAAGGAGGTCACAATCATTCCTTCTGCACCTTTTAAAAATGTATATAAAACAAGAGACTCTTGAAGTTAGTTCTCATTAAAATGTAAATAATAAATTAGTGGGGATCTGAATTTTTTTCTAGACAGAATAGTTTGCTTTTTCATACTTTAAATTAATAGCAAGAAAAACATTTCCTGTGGTCTTTCATTTGTGAAAGCTTTCAATTTAATACATTTTTACCATGATTCTGGATGTAAAAATTATCTTTAAGCTTATTTAAAGCAATATTCAAATTTTTCCAAAAAATATGGAACACGCTGTAAGTTTCAGAATGATAAAAATGCAATTTTAAAAATACTATCCTTCAAGACATATAGATTTGAGGCAGCAGATAAATAAAAATAAAGGCCTTTTTAGCCTGTATCAAAGTATACACCCTCTAACAAGTGGGACCACTTTGCTGTATAATCAAAGACAGTAAGAAATACATCACACTGTGTGCAGTTGCTCACTGCTAATATGGAAGAAAAAAAGACTGAAAAGAACAGCAGGAGCAAATCCTCAATCTTTCTGAGAGAAGATATAAAAAGATTTCACAGCATTTATGGAGGAGGCATGTATGCAGTAAATAAACTAAGAAAGTGTTAACAGGTTTAATTATCAGGTACTATCATGTTGGCTAACTGATACTAATAAAGATACATTTCTGTCTTTCTTCATTAGATTTGTATAAAATCACTCTAGCATTTATTTTAAAAACCATTTCCCCTTTCTCAAAGTCATAAAAGAACCTTGTATGCATGAGGAGAGTAATTACTGGCATCTGTACAGTATTCACTGAAAATGCTGAATGACACTGGGTTCTAGAACAGCTATGTCAAGCATTGTTAATTCTCTGGGGAATATTTGTGTTTAACAGAAAATACAAAATAGCATATTTACTTTTGGTTTACCTCACTTGGAAGTATTAATTTTCCCAGAATTCACTAAAAAAGGTAGATTTGTGTTCACATATACATATACAGTGTGCTTCATGCTCATCATCTGAATGCTCAATTGACTTTTAATAGGGAGGGGAGTTTAAATGGCTCTGATGTAATTCAGACCTTCTCTATGTTTCCAAAGGATGGGCTCCAAACAAACTTATGTCATCATTCTTTTTTCAGTAAAGACACCATTTTCTCAAATAAAAAAATTTAAATATTTTCTTTATCACATATTTTCACATCAACTCACGGCTATCAGCTAACTTGAACAGAACTGAGACTTACACAAGTCTCAAGTGCAAAAGAGGAAATGCCCCTTAAATAGAAACATGAAATCCAGTTCCATAATTAACATGATCTTTATATTTTGGAAACACTAATGTGATAAAACAAGAAACAAAAAATAAAACCCATGTACAATCTATTAAAAAGGCTAAAAACAAGATTTGACTGAAGTTCTGAAGTTTTCAAATAAAAAAGAAAGGGTGTTTAAGCCTTAAATAAAAGTACAAATAAGCAAATGAGATTTTTTTCCGTAAAAGTATTTCATGTAGTTTTCTATTTTTCTTCTGCCTCATCATGAGAAATACCAAAAAGTTTGGGCTTTCTAAGTTTAGGCAACAGAGTCCTAATCATGATGCAGAAGAGGGAAGAGTTTAATTCTAAGGGCATTTCCTATAGCAAACTATTTTCTGTTAAACTGTAGCACAGAGAGATGGAAGCTGAAAGCTAGTGACAATTTATCTAGGCACATTTTCTAAAAATAATAATCCAGTGTCTGCCTGACAGCCTAAACTTGTACAAAGGACAGGAAACAAAATGGACAATAAAGAAATGTGCACAGCTGATGAATTTTTGGTTCTTAGATGCAAAGGCTGAAATTTTCCAAAATTTAGCCAAAAGAATAAATGTTATATTTCAACAGTCGCCCTATGTTTTTTTAAACCACCAAGATGAGAGTGGTGAAAACTTAAATACTAATTTTTTTAAAGGAGCTCCTCCATCTACTAACTTATTCAACTTAAATCAGACATCAAATGTAAATGTTTCCAGACCAGCCCTTACACAGGACTATTGGATAACAAATTCGACCTTAAATTGTAGTCAAATACTGAAAGTAGTTAATTCTGACCTCAATTTCATTCTGCAACTTGCTAATGGAAAAAAGTGCGATTTAGGCAAATATATTTATTGGCCTTAAAAATAAAAGATTAAAACACAGCATAAAGAAATCAAGTCAAAGTTCATAAATCCATTATTTTACTACAAGAGTGTTACATGAATCAGTTCAATAAGATCTAGAGCTAATAATGGAAAGTTTAACTGATTCGAAGTTTCTAATTCAAATGCAAAAGTACATAATTTACTCCACATAAAATCCATAGTATAAAGAAAAATCATGGATTTCAGAACATAAGAGCACTAATTCTTGATTCAGATCAATTTATACTATCTGCTGACCAAATAGTATTTCTGCTTGATTATATAACAGCATTAAAAAAATTAAGACTCTCTCAGGAATAAACATGCATTTAGGTTTACAATGGCCATATAGAAGAAACCCTGGAAATTATCATAAAATCATTACTGTTTGACTTCTATAAATAATTTCAGTTTATGTTCTTAATTCAGTTGATTACCATTAATTCTGCAACTTCCACTAATGAATCAGAGAAGAATCATAAACTATATATTAATAAAAGGAAAACAAGGAAACAAAATAATACTACTTACAGACTTCCTCTTCTGGGGAGACTCAGCTCCTTCTGCAAAAGAAAAAAAAAACATATATAAGTGATGCTACATTAACCTTAGATTACTAGGATACCAATGGATAGCACAGAATGCATCATCCTTCATTATACTTGATTTGGCATTTCCTATGCTGAAAACATTTTAACATCATAATTTTATGCTGGATCCCTTCTTACACGGTTCTCTTTACACACTGTGTTTAAGGTACAAACACAGCTTACCTGAATTCCAGAGCAGCAAAACCATCAATCTTCCCAAAGCAACTACAGTAAAATACTGAGTTGAGTTACATGGCCCTACAATTGAGCATACAGAAACGTATCCAAACAGGATATAGATATAAGAACTATGAGACATTCTACAGGATTATAATTAAATGAAAGGTACAATGAAAAGGACAATGAAATCAGACTATTTGCCCTCAATAGAAATATATTCACGCAAAACATTATGCATCCCAAAGACTGTACTTTCTTATTATTCTTTAAATGATAATGGAAAAGATTTCCTTTTGGTATTATTTCTCAAGACATGCATTTATTCCTTGGGATATTTTAAAATAGCTTAATCAATTTCTAAAAGGTAATCAGACGACCACTACAATTATTAGCGTGCTTCATAGTTTTTAAAGGACATCCTCACACTTACCTCAATTTGAGATTCTTATCTACCTAATCATCAAGAGGCTGTGAAAAACCAAAAAATCACCCAAGAAAACAAGCCAACCAAAGAAATAACAAAAATAGATTCAGAAATACCTCTATCCACCAATAAAGTTTTCAAAGCTCAAGAATACTTGCTGTCCATTATTAAAGAATAGGAAGCAATGAGTCATTTGGCTATTTAAACTCAAAATGAAGAGTACTATGACTGAATTTGGTTATTCATGTCCATAATTCTCATTTATTTTTCTGCCTTTCAGGTGGTTGAGCATTATCCTTTGAAAGGTATTTCCCCATCAGCTTCAAACTCACCTTTCCTGTCTCTGATTTGTACTGAATGTTTGTCATGGACAGCAGGCTCACCTATCACTTATCCACAGCGCATCTTACTCCAGCACAGCTTACAGAAAATGGCCTTGAGAGCATCAGACCAGAGAGGAGGAGAGCTCTGTGACTGCTGTTTTAAACACAGCAGGCCTTACTTATTAACCGGCAAATATATTTCCATACAGAGTTATAGTAATCATATAACTGTTCAACAGCAAGGAAAACAATCAGCAATTTTAGGAATGAAGTGTCCTCTTCTTTTTCCGAATAGCAAACATTTTCAAGGGCTCTAGGGTTCAGTGGTAAAGTGCTTTTTTGTTTTGTTGTTTTGCTTTGCTTTTTCCTTTAATCCTTGATTAGCTCCAAGAAATTATAGTGTTTGCTAAACTTGGCTCCCTGATTCTGAAACATAAATATACCTCCATTTACTAAAACCCCTAATGACAAGAGAAAAGTCTCTGCCCAAGACAGCCTTCCTTGGAAACTGAAACATAAATAGAAAACCAATGAGTAATTTTCTGTACAAGGATCTTTGGTTATGATAAGCACTGAGAAATCAGTGTTGTATTCAGGTTAAAGAAAAGAAAGAGAGAACTCCCTAGACATAACAGCTCACCAGACTTTATCTTTTATTTTATATTTTTTATTTACATTTAGGATGAGGTCTCATTACATTGCCCAAGCTGGTCTCAAACTCCCGGGTTCAAGCATTCTCCTGCCTCAGCATCCTGAGTAGCTGAGATTACACAGTACACCACTGTACGAGGCTCTGGCCATTTCTCCTGGAAAGGAATTGATACCACTGCAGACCAGAAGGCCTAGAGACCAAATGAATAATACTGCTCTGTCCAATAAGTTGATCGGACAGCTGCATAAAATGTACCTGAGGTGTTATTAATAACAACAAAAATAATAAATCAGATATTCTTTCAACTATATATGCAAATAGATCACTCAGAAGATATAAGAGGAAAGGGGCCAAATGAATGACCCAAATAATTCCATCAGTCATATTCCACCAAATGACCTGAGCGTAAACTGGCTGCTTTGCTTTGAGAAAAAGCTGCTGAAACAGCAAGATAAGGGATAAAAACCAACTCTGTTTTTAATCAAAAGTCTTTCCAGTAGGTCTAGAATTATGAGTTCTAAACAAGAAGAAAGGTTACAGTGGGTAACCCGGCACTGCTGCTCCACGGGACGGCGGCCGAGATTCCAAGATGAGGAGCAAAGGACATTTAATAGGCCACAGTCAACTGACCTGAAGCTACCACGCTAACCAAGCTGAAGAAGCTAATCCACCTGATGGCTTGAATGTCAGGCTCAGGACTGGAAACTCAATTTGGTAGCAAATTGGAATCAGATGTGATGGTAATAAAGTGAGGGAAATGAATGTGCCGTGGCCAAGACCTTGTGAACAGTAGCTGCAAAAGTCTGCAAATACCAGGAGGGCTAAGCAATTGCAGCCTGAACAGGGAGCAGCTCCTGCCCTAACAGACGAGGGCCACATGCTGATAAATCTGCACCCGTCAGACGTAAACGAACAGCATCAAGGCATTTTATCGCCAAAGTCCCCGTGGTACTTTGTGTATGGGTCCTCATTTTATTTTCTCAATGTCAGGATAAGGTCACTAACACATACTTAGATAATTAGACGAGACGTGGTATTGGTCTGAGTCATAAACCTAAGCTTGTGCTTGACATATGTGGAGTGTGTGTTAAAAATTTACTGTCAGGTAAGAACTGGAGGAGGAAAGAAAATGGGAAAAAAGGGAAACAACAGCAAGAAGTATCCACCTGAACTAGACAATATGCTAATTGTCACTGGATTAAAGAAATTCCTAAGATCAAACATTCTTAGACTTTCATTAATATTGATTACTCAAATGACATTTAACATTTTTAGAGTTGCTGTTTATTATTTGCTTGATATTGTATCCTTCCCCCACTGACTTTCTAGTGTTAACTAGCAAATATTTTCATTAAAAATAAAGATTAAATAAAATTAATCTTGTCTGAGAATCTTATTACTTTTGAGATCCTCAATTACCTGAGGATACCAAAAGGTCCCTCCAATCCAGGAAGAAAACTCAGGGAGAGTCCGAGAAGAAAGAGGGGTAAATGATTCTGCTCCTTTCTCCCAGCCATCCTTAGCTTCAAAAAGAGAAAGCATCTGTTTCATTCATGAAGATGGAGAGAAAACTGCAATGTTTTATATGTACAAGCAATTTCCACATGGTAATTTTAAAACTATTTACAAGGTTTAGTATTTAACAGCTATTCATAGACAAACAAAATAATATGGCTATACATGCTGCATGTGTTTAGAGAATCTCTGAACTCTTTTTAACTAAGGGTGAACTTATGATTTAAAATAGGACATTTACAGAAGTCTGAATAATGTATGCAGATATTCCCTTCTTCAAGAGGTAGAGCTTAATTATTCTCTCTTTGAGAGTGGCCTAGGAGCTAGTGGCTCACTTGCAAATAACAGAATACAGAAAGGGAATAATAGCAACATTATAGTGGGGAAACTCACAGATACCACCATAACTGAGGGATCAAGGCTAACATCATCAGTGGTAAGTCACGCTGACATCATGCTGTTATCCTCTGATATGATGGATGAGAAGTGGTATTCAAGATGTCCGTCTGTAAGAATACCACTTGATGCCTGTGGCATTCTCTCCAAAATCCATAACACCAGTCTAATAGTGAAAAAGCCTCAGGCAAACCCAAATGGAGGGACCTTCTAAAAACATCTGATCAGTACTCCTTAAAGCTGTCAAGGTTGTGAAAAACAAGAAAAAATTAAGCAACTGTCACAGACCGGAGAAGACTAAGGGTGGCTACATACAATGAAGAATCTTGAATGAATGAAGAATCCTGAATTGGATCCTCAGTCAGAAAAAAGACATTAGTGGAAAACTTCATGATATCTAAATACAGTTTGTAGTTTAGATAACAATGTACCAATGTTGTCATGATTTCGACAAATGTATTAAGGCTACATATGATGTCAACATTATGAGAGACTGGGAAAAGGGTATACAGTAATCTTCTGAGCCATCTTATACATTTTCTATAAATTTAAAATTATTCCAAAATATTAAAGAAAGCATATCAAAAGGTGGAGACAGGGAGAAGGAAAGACTGGTGTGGGGCTAAATAATAGAAGAAATGAACACATAAATATCTAAATATTCTAAGCTTACTTTAAGGCAATATTTAATATCAAATTTTTAGGAAGCTCTAGAAATTCTCTCGGTGAGAGAGATTCTGGCTAGGACCAGCAATGAAGATGGTAAGGAGTAGTCAGATTTAAGATATGTCTTCATAAGATTTACACACAAACTGGATGTGGAGCGTGAAAGAGAAAGCAAGGAGGAGTCATAGGTTTTCAGCCTGAGCAAATGGAGTTTGATGGGAAAACAGTTCAGCTTTGAAATGCTACATTCAAGACATCTGTCTGTAAGAATTCCAAGTAGAAGTTTTCAAACAGGCAACTATACAATTGAATCTGAGTGCAAGAAAAAGGTCAGGGTTGCAGGTTGATTTTGGAGTCATTATGACCTGAGATTCTATGTAAAGCCATGGGGCTGGATGAAACAGGAGAGACTCAATTTAAAAAGAAGAAGAAAGAAGAATAAAGAAGAAAGAAGAAAGAAAGAAGAAGAAGAAGAAATAATAATAATAAAGAAGAAGAAGGAAGAAGAAGAAAGAAGGAAGAAGAAGGAGGAGGAGGAGGAGGAGGAAGAGG